GCACACACGCCTGGCGTGAGTTTTAAGCCACTGGGTCCGGGACTCGAACCACAGTCGACTACGTGGGGGTCCAGCGACATAGCTATTATGCTAAATGCTGGTCCTTCAATTCTAACTTAATGCAAATAATTTTCAGGTAAATCAGATGTCTGTCCTATTATAGCAATGAAAAGAAAAGCGTGATCTTCTATGGCCAAGATCAAAGTTTTATCATCTCAAAGTAATCAAAGCCATGAAGGAAAAATAAACCTCAAGAACAGGGCAACATTCCTATTTAGATTTTCAAGCAAAAATGAGAACAGCTATGTACCTGTGCAGAGTTTTCCTTCATGAGAATCAAGAGTAGTATACTGTGTGATTTTGCAAAGCTTACTCATTTGAGCAGCCACTCTGGCACAGGAGTGAGGTCAGCCCCGACCCCCCCCCCACCCGGAGCCCCCATGCCGCGATCCATCCCCCCCCCGCCGGAGTCCCCATGCCGGGATCCATCCTCAGTGTCAGCTGGCTCAACCACGGCACACATACGCACCCGGAGTGCTCAAGGAGGTCCTGGGCCAGGACGCAGACCCAGGACCTTTCCTATACGGGCCCAGCTGCACTACTGCTGTGCCACGATCTGGCTCTCCTGTTATTTTTAATAACTGCTACAATATTATGTTAAACACACACACACACACACACAAACACAAAAAAAACCCCTCATCCTAATCCCTTCATCTTGTAACAATTTTTTGTTTTGTTTTATTAACTTTGCAATGTGCTTCGCAGGAAACCAGACAAAGATGGAGAGAAGAAAAGTGAGAAAGCACCCCAATAGAGGGACAGCCACACTGCAGTCCCTTCTTCATTCTCCTCTCAAGATTCTGGGCACTCACACAGACCTGGGATGTTTTTCAAACCACTGGGTCCAGGTCACAAACCTTGCAGTTGGTCACATGGGATTCAGCTACCTTTCCCATCGTGTCAGTGGTTGATCCCAACAATTGCTTTCTTACTTCCCCCAAAATAGAAAAAGAAAGAAAAAGATGCCATGACTTTGCCTGTGACCTAATACTATGTATCACTGACTGTACTCAAGAAAAATCTTAATCAGATATAATCCTTTCTGGAATAAGGTAGGAAAAAAGTAAGTACATAAACAAGTAAAATAAAGTAAATTAAATACCACATAATATCAAAACCAAGATCTGACTTTCCAGCAACCATAAGACAGAATCCAAACTCCCCACAAAGTATACAAATTCTTTTTTTCGGAGAAAGATTTTTACAACAAGGTGTGTATGCTTGCTGGAGAGAGAGTGACAGGGAGACAGAGAGCAAGAAATTGACCCTCAGGAGGATGGTCATGCGGCAATCCCTTATCCTCCATTCTCCTCACAGGATTTTGGGTGCACACACACACGCACCCAGCATGAGTTTTGTTTTTGTTTTTTAAGAATTATCTTAGTGTTCATTTTGTTTATTATCATTATTATTCTTTAATTTGGTCAGAGAATGAGAGAAAGAAAGCCACCCAGCCTGGCACTCAAACCATGGTCGGCCATGTGGGAGCCCACCATCTTAATCAGCATGCCACCTGCTGGCCCCCTCAGCATGAGTTCTAAGCCACCTACTCTAGGATTCAAACCCCGGTCAACTATGTGGGAGTCCAGTGACACAACCATTATGCCATCTGCTGGTCCCTATATAGTATACAAAATTCCTACATGAGATGGCCGCAGCCTCTTTCTGCTAACCATCTCAGACTCAAAACTTTACGTACATTCCTCTACTCAACCGAGAGAAACTCACACAAGTCTTTGATCATTTTCTCTTTTTTCCTCTGTAATGCCTTATTTTCTTTCCTTCTTTCCCTTTTGTCTGGAGACCAACAAATTTTACAAAGGGGTAGCGATTTCCATTCTGGATAAGACTTATAAAGTACCCATTTCCTTGTTGAAATTTCTACTGTTTTAGAGAAGTCAAGGTACTCTGATACATCCTCTTTAACATGTCAACAGTAGAACAGAACACCTCTAAGTCAATCCAAACCTAGATCAAAAAAAAGACTCAAGATTCAGACAAATCTCATAAGCAGTTTTTTTTTTTTTTTTAAAGTTATTATTATTTTAATTTGCTATAGGCATGTGCACTCACCAGAGGAGGGGGAGTGAAAAAGCAAGCCACTAGGTCCAGGATTCAAACTGTGGTTGGCCACATGAGAGTCCAGTGCCTCAATCACCATGCCACCTGGCCCCTCATGAGCCATTTTTTAAATTATCAATTTTTTAAAAAAAGATATCTAATGGACCAGCATACGGCATAATGGCTAAGTCGCTGGACTCCCATGTAGTTGACTGTGGTTTGAGTCCCAGACCCAGTAGCTTAAACTCACACCAGGAATGAGTGTGTGTGTGCCCAAGATGCAAGTGGAGAATGGAGAAGGGATTGCAGTGTGGCCTCACTTTCTGTCTGTCTCTTTCTGTCTTTCTGGTGAGTACATGTGCCCTATAGCAAAAATCTCTCCAAAAAAAAAAATGGCTATTTGAAACAAAGGATTTATGCAGTTCTTAAATGTGCTATGGAGCACGTATGCGCACCAGGCAAGAGAAATGAGAGAGTGAGTGAGTGAGAGAGAGAGAGAGAGAGACATACACACACACTGAGAAAGTGACAAAGTACCCTTCAAGGTTGGGCAATCCTTTCTCCATTCTAAAAATTTGGGGCATGCACACACACAGCATACACACACGCCTGGCACCTTAGATATTTTTTTTTTTTTGGAGAGGTTTTTGCTATAGGGTGTGTGTGCTCGCCAGACAGACAGAGAGAGACATAGAGACAGAAAGCAAGAAATCACCCCCCGGGGGGATGGTCATGCCATAATCCCTTCTCCTCCATTCTCCTCTCGGGATCTTGGGCATGCATGCACATGCACCCGGTGTGAGTTTTAAGCCACCGGGTCCGGGACGCGAACTGCAGTCGACTACATGGGAGTCCAGCGACATAGCCGTTACGCCAACTGCTGGTTCCACTACCTTATATGTTTTTAAAGCAAGGACTTGAACGCCACATAGGATCCAGCTACCTCAACAACCATACCACCCACTGGTCTCACAACTATACTTCTACAAAGATTCATCAGTTGAATTAAAGACATCCAAGTCCTCACCCACCCAGAGATGACATACCAATACAATGATTTTGGCCTGTGGCTGCCTTGTGTTGATAAGTTGTACTATGGCCTCGATCCCACCTGCTACCTCTTCTGCTGTATTTTCATGGTTGTTTGTTCCTACCCAAACAACAATAACCTGTAATTGAAGGAAAGGGGAGAAAAAACATAAATACCTAGGAGAAAAGGAATGTCCAACATTCAGAAGAAAACTTTATTTCAAAATCAATAGAAACATAAATTTCTAAAATGGTATTAGAAAACTTCGACTGGATAGCTTTCTTACAAAAATGAATTATGCCTCATATCATAGACCAGGATAAATTCAAATCCATTAACATTTACGTGGCAAAACCGCACTAGAAGAAAACAAGAGAGAATACCACCACTGCTATGGTTTGAGTGTTGTGTCCTCATGAGCTGACGGTGTGGCCGACATCCAATAGGGCAAGGCTGGGCAATGGGGCCTAGTGGGGGGGTGATTGGAATGCAGGGCAGATCCCCCACAAACAGATTTAATGTCTGCTCCTGGGAGGAAATGGGTTCTCAAGGATTATTTCCCCTGAGGCAGATTACTATTTTTTTTAGAGACATTTTTGCTATAAGGTACGTATGCTTTGTCTATAAGAGACAAAGACGGAGAGAAAGGAAGTGAGAGATCACTCCCCAGAGGGGATGGCCATGCAGCAATCCCTTCTTCTCCATTCTCCTCTCAGGATTTTGGGCACATATGCACAAATGCCTGGTGTGAGTTTCATACAGCCAGGTCTAGGACTTGAACAGAGGTTGGCCATGTGGGAGCGCAGTGTCTTAGCCACTATGCCACATGCTGCAGATTATTATAAAAGCAAGTTGGCTGTCAATAGGTCTATGTTCACAGGCATTCACTTTCCTTTCTGCCTCCCCTGCCATGTTGCGCTGGCTCCATGCTCTGACTTTTTAGCCACCATAATTATGAGCAAGACAAACCTTTTTTCTCTATAAACCACCCAGCCTCAGATATTTTCTTTTTAGAGAGATTTTTGCTATAGGGCATTTGTGCTCTCTGGAGAGACAGAGACAAAGAGAAAGTGAGAAATCACCCTCGAGGGCAGTGGCCACAAAGGCAATCCCTTCTCATCCATTTTCCTCTCGGAATTTCGGGCACACATGCACATGCACCTGGCGCATGCTTTAAGCTGCCACTCTAACTGTGGGCAGCCACGTGGGAGTCCGCTGGCATAACCACTGCACCACCTGCTGGTCACTCGGGTACTTTCTGTTACAGCTACACTAAACAACCATCACAGAGCTGGGGAGCTAATCTCATCATCTAGAAACCATATGAAAAAAAGACTAATAAACACGACTATACAAAAACTTGAGGGACCAGCAGATGGTGTGATGGATATGTCGCTGGACTCCTGTGAAGTTGACCACAGTTCGAGTCCTGGGCCTGGCAGCTTAAAACTCATGCCAGGTACCTGTGCGTGTATGCCCAAGATCCTGAGAGATGAATGGAGAAGAGACTGTGGTGTGGCCATCCCCCCAGAGGTGGTTTCTCACATTCTGTCTCTCTGTCTCTGTCTCTCCGGCGAGTGCACACATCCTATATATAGCAAAAATCTCTCTAAAAAAATAATATTGAGACTGGCAGGTGGTGTGGTGGTTAAGGGAGCTGGACTACTACATGGCCGACCATGGTTTGAATCCCGGACTTGGTGGCTTGCTTTTGCACTGTCCCTCTCTCTTTCTCTCACTCTGTCCCTCTCTGGTCAAATTAAAATAAAGTTAAATAAAATAATTACTTTTCAAAATAATAAATAAATAAATAAATAAAGTAAAATAAAGTCTTGAAGGGTCAGCAAATGGAGTAGCGGTTATGTTACTGGACTCCCACAAGGCTAACTGCAATTTGTGTCCTGGACCTGGTAACTTGAAAATCATGCTGAAAGTGTGTGTGCGCATATCCAAGATCCTGGGAGAATGGAGAAGGGATTGTGGCATGGCCTATTCCCTCTGGGGTGTACTTTTTCACTTTCCCTTTCACTGTCTCTGTCTCTCTCTAGCAAGCACATGCGCACTAAGGCAAAAGCCTCTTAAAAATAAATAAATAAAATCTTGAACCAAAGGTTGTAGGGTGTTTAAACTGACTAGATTTCACATGGCTGATTGCACAGTTGGAGTCCCAGACCTGGCAGTTTGAAAAACATACTGGGCACGTGTGTATGCATGCCGAAAATCCTGTAAGGAGAATAGAGGAGAAAAGACTGTGATGTGGCCATTCCCTCTGAGGTATGCTTTCCCTCTTTTCCCCTACTTCACACCCCCATGTTGAGTTCACAGTATTTAAAAAAAAATACTCAGGAAAAAAATCTGCACATTTTTTAAAAAGTAAAGTAAAAAAACTGGGAACGAGCGGGTGGCGTGGTGATTAAGGCACTGGACACTCCCACATGGCCAGCCATGGTTCGAGTCCTGGACCTGGTGGTTTGCTTTCTCACTTCCCCTTTCTCTCGGTCTCTGTGTTCCTCTCTGGTCAAATTAAATGAATGAAAAAAAATAAATAAAAGAATGAATAAACAAAATTAAATTTTGAAAAAGTAAAAAACCTAAGGAAGCTGGAGAAACATATTCACAACTCACATCACAAAGACTTCATCTCTCTACTTGGAAGTACTTTTTTTTTTTTTAAATAAAAGAATGATTTTATTTAACTTTATTTATTTTAATTTGACCAAAGAGGGGGGGGGGCAGTGAGAAAACAAGCCACCAGGTCTGGGACTGGAACCATGGCCAGCCATGTGGAAGTCCTGCACCACCCTTAACCACCATGCCACTTGCTAGCTGCTCCTTTTTTCTCCTTAACTGCCAGAGGGTACATGCCCTTACCAGAAAGGGAGAGGCGGAGAGAATCTCCTAATGAGTGTGATCATGCCACAATCCCTTCTCCACTTTACCATTCTGCTGAGATTCTGGGAGTGCACATACACACGCTGGTGTGTTTCTTAAATGTAGGGCCAATACTGAAACCACAGTGAGCCCTGCGAGATTGGGCTCCCTTACCCAGTAGGCCAACGGCTGGCCCTTCCTAACTAGAAGTACCTTAATAATAAAAGTACCTAAGAGAGTATAATGAACCTAAGTACTTAATTGCACTTGAAGGAAAAAGTCAATGGGGTGGAAGCTAGATACAGTTTAACAAGTATTTCTCTTAAAAAAAAAAATAATAATGATTTTACAAGGTGGTTATCAGTGGTTATCATTTAGAGATACACATTATATGGCTCAAAGTAACTTCCCAGTCAGTCTATCTTAAAAGAGAAGCATGGGCATGAGCTATTCCATTAGAAAAGGTAAAGAATATATTCCCTGCAACAGTAACCTTCACTAGCAGCTCAGCTTTGTGTTTAGTTTTTCTGAGGGTTAACAATGAATAAACATGGAGCCGGCAGATGGCATGGTGGTTGAAGGCACTGAACTCCCACATGGCTGATCTCGGTTCGCGTCCTGGACCTGGGCTTGCTTTCTCACTTTCCTCCTCTTTCTCTCTGTTCCTCTGATCAAATTAAGTATATAAATAAAGGTAAATAAAATAATCCTTAAAAAAAAGAATAAACATATGAGCCAGCAGGTGGCATGGTGATTAAAGTGCTGAACTCCCACATGGCCTACTGTGGTTTGAGTCCCAGAACTGGTGGCTTGCATTCTCACTTTCTCTCTCTCTGTCTCTGGTGAGTGCACGTGCCCTATAGCAAATTTAATAAAATAAAATAAATAAAAAAAATAAAAAGGCCAGCAGATAGCATAGTGGTTACGTCACTGAACTCCCACTTGGCCAACCATTATTCAAGTCCTGGACTCAGTGGCTTCACTCTCATGCCAGGCTCGTGTGTGTGCGTGCCCAAGATCCCAGAGAACAGAGAAGGGACTGAAGGGATTGCAGTGTGGCTATCCCCACGGAGGAGTGATTTCTTGCTTTCTGTCTCTCTAGCGAGCACATACACGCTATAGCAAAAATAATCCCCCTGCCACCACCAAAAAAAAGAATAAATACAGCGTGCCAACTCAGGACGTCTGTGACGTGAGCGGGCCCTAGAAGAGGGGCTCGTGTACTCCTGTCTGCTCCAATGTCCCTCAGAAGGACCGGGGGCTTTTTTACCACCTGGAATTTATATGGTTAAACAGAAGAAAATTATGGCCTTGCTTTCTGAGCTTGCTTGTAAGCATTTCCCCCTACCCTGCCCCAAGTTCACGTACTCCATGGACAGTGCAACACATGAGCATCTAAGCTCCTCCTGTCCCCGAAGACAACCTTAACAATTACAAATACGGCCCAGGCAGACGACATGCCTGCTTTAAACGTAAATTTGGATATGTTTATCCTTAGGGAGTGACAGCACCATCTACCCGTAAGAAGTCTAACACAAAATAACAGTGCAACAGTGCTGTAAAGAAAAAATGTTTTACTCCTATTTTCAAATAATCTAAATATTTGAAAAGATTCAAGATTAATGATATTCTTTTTAAAAGATTTCGAATATTTCATTTCACCTTAGGCTTAATATTTTCCAATTCTCCATTCTTTAGTCTCCACAAAACATGTCTTGTTGTATCTCCTCCAATTCCAAAATTCAGCGCATGAAGAGGGGAAAAAAGCTCTCGCCATATCTAAAAAAAGGAAAAGCTTGGTTTAGTTGATCTAAAAATAGTGGGAAATAAAATTTTTGAGTTGCATGGTGTGAGACGTATGAAGTAACAACTCCCAATTCCTATATTCAAACATAATACTGCAATGGTGTGCCACTCGGTGTGTAAAGAGCTTTGGGGTCGGCAGGTGACATGGTAGTTAAGGGCGCTGTACTCCCACTTGGCTGACTGTAGTTCAAGTCCCAGACCTGGTGGCTTGCTTTCTCATTTGTTCTCTCCCACTCCCCTGGCTGCTTTGTTTCTTTCTCACTTTCTCTCTCTCTCTGGTCAAATTAAAAATAAACAAAGTTAAATAAAGTAATTCTTTAAAAGATTATTTTCTTGGGACCAGCAGTTGGTGTAATGGCTATGTTGCTAGACTCCCATGTAGTTGACCATGGTTCGAGTACTGGACCCAGTGGCTTAAACTCACGCTGGGCACGTGTGCGTGTGTGCCCAGGATCCTGAGAGGAGAATGGAGGAGAAGGGATTGAGGCATGGCCATCCCCTTGGGGGGTGATTTCTTATTTTCTGTCTCTCTTTCTCTTTCTGGCAAGTACACGCACCCTCTAGCAAAAACCTCTCACACACAAAAAATTTTTTCTTTATTCGTGATAGAGCCCACAAGAGAGAGGGAGAGTGAGCATGAGCAAGTGGGAGAAAGGAAAACATCCTACTAGGGCCTGCCTGTGCTGATTCCTCTTGTCCAGCCCTCAGGACTACGTTTTGGGCATTTGCACATATGCCCGGCATGCTTCTGGCTGACTGGCTGAGGATTCGAGCCGTGGTCCCCATGTGGGGTCTGGCTTCTTTGGAGCAGCACATTACCGCAGCACCATGGAGCCAGCCCGCTGTAGTGTGTTTGTTAGTGCAGCTTCAGTCTCATCTCAAGAGCTGAGTCACAACTCAATCTGATGCCCCTTAAGAGGCACCAACATTTATTACTAAGTTGCCAACTCAATAAACTCTCCTTTGTATTTATTCATCTATTTAAAGGAATAGTGTAATAGAAACATGAGATGAAGAAATCCTTAGAAGAATGCCTCACCCTAAGATTTGTTACAGCTCATTATAAAAATATACAGAACATGAAAATGGCAAAATACAAGTAAGTGAGAATCATGACTAGAACAAATATAAATGAGCAAATATAAATAAAGGACAGTGGGGCCAGCAGGTGGCATGGTGGTTAAGATGCTGAATTCCCATTATGGCCAATTGTGGTTTGAGTCCCAGACCTGGTGACTTGAAAATCATGCTAGGCACATGTGAATGCAAACCCAAAATCCAAAGAGGAGAAGGGACTGCGATGTGACCATCCCCCTTGGGAATGGGGAGTACTTTCTCACTTTCTGTCTCACTCATTTTCTCTCCGGCCAGCACATGTGCTGTATGTTGAAAACTTAAAAAAAAGAAAGAAAGAAAGAAAGAAAAAAAGGGAAGAAAAAACAAAGAAAAAAGGAAAAAAAGGGAAGAAAATAGTAAAATACATGGTCAAGATGCTGGACTCCCACATGGCTGTTCATGGTCCTAGTCCTGGATCCCACGGCTTGAGAGTCTCACTGGGCATGTGTGCACACGTGACCAAAATCTCCAAGAGAATGGAGGAGAGGGGACTGGAGTGTGGCCATTCCCCCGGGGAGGGGGTGATATCTCACTTTCCCTCTCTCTCCTCCTCTCTCTCTCTCTCCAGCATGCCCCATGCCAAAACCTTTAAAAAAAAATTAAAAATTAGTAAATAAATAAAAATAGTAAAATACGAATAAAAATAAATAAAAATCACGACAACTATAAATAAACTATATAACATCAAGCTTCCTGGAAGCAAGAAAAAAAGGGGAGTTTAGTTATAAACAGTACTTTTAATTGTCTAATCACACTTGGTGGCACAGAGAATCCTTTCAGTAGGTGTGACTCCTCTAATGCGCCGAAGCAGAGCTTCTCTAGGAGCTCCAGGTGCGTAGGGGCTCAGCTCAGAGTGAAAGCTGAGGCAGTAGACAGGTGTCTGTCAGGGGTGAAGACCCTCCCTCGCCCCAGGCCTTTACCTCGTACTGCTGCATTAGCTGCACCATGGAGTCTCCCACAAACAGGACGTCAGGCTCTTTGTCTTTACAGTCCAGGACAAATCTGTTGTGCTGGTTTGAAGAAGAATGAAAAATAAGAAACAGGTATTTCTTTTCCTGTGAGGTTTCTTGGCCTAGAAAGACAACTGTCTAATCAGTTACCACTGTCAAACACTGTTTTTGCTCTACCTAAAAGCTTATTCCTCTTGGGGCCAGCAGATGACGCAATGGTTGCGCTGGACTCCCTTGTAGCTGACCGTGGTTTGAGTCCAAGACCCGACAGCTTAAAACTCACGCCAGGGAAAGA